AGTTTGTTTTGATTTAGTATGGAGGTATTAGAAAACTAATGAGGAATTGCAAGTTTTATCACATAGAAACGTTTCCAGGAAAGATGGTATTATTAGAAACTTAAGGGGATTAGTAGTATCGTTCTTCACATAAGGTTGGGCACGACTGTCGACAGATGAATTAATTACAAGGAAACAGAGGAACAAGAACGTCGTTCTTATAAAGTGCGATTAACTCTCAGTAATTTTAAAGAGATATGTTTTTATTTCTGTCTGTTTAATAGCCCAAGTTTACGAAAACAGTAGTCTATTTTGTTTTCTTTCTCTGTGTCTTAATCAACTAAGATATCACACTACTGCAAATCTTTCACGTTTATTTGCTCACTATTTACTGATAATAGTATAAAAGGACTTTAATTATTTCAATGACATTTTTCTCTCTTTGCACAATCTGAATTGTAAGACTTAAAACACTTGAAAGTATTTCCTTTACCCTTTCTGTCTGTTTACTATCTTAAGTTTACGAAAACAGAAGTTTTTACTTTACTTTTCTGAATCTCTATTAACTCAAGTGTGATACTATCATAAGTATTACACATTTCTTTGCTCAGTTGACAGTATTAACAATTGTTATTGCATCAGTGTAAATCAGGTTCTTTATTCTTCAGCGAATGCCGAATATTTACAATATATAAACATCTTTGTCATCCATACTATATACTTATGATTTAAAATATTTTATTCAGCAACATATTTTAATATTATAATATAAAGGCTGTCCAACAGGAAGAAAACATTTGATCACCAATATTACAGCGCTGTTTAAATGCTACGAACGATAGCGATTTCATTTACTATGTGCATGCAGCTCCAGAAATTTTGTGTATTATGTATTAAAACATAATCATACTAACTACCTTTCAATAGTTCATTTTTTCTCTCTAGGAAAAGTCTTTAGTGTTGAAGTGGAACTGCAGCACACCGAAATACATCTGTATTGAAAGAAACGAAAACGAACATTATCTCATTTTTAATAATATCGAAAAAGTGTCATTTTTTATAGGCATTCAAATATAATTTTTAGTTGTTAAAACTTGAATACATCCGTATAAACAGAATCAATATTTTTTCTACTAGACGGATATCAAGCCTATTGATCAGATTCAACCTCTTGATGTGCTTTATATTATACAGTGAAAATCTTCCGTAAAGAGTTAAACCCGTGATTTGTTGTATAGTTGAGAGTTAAACATCTAAACCAAAGATTCAAACCTTTGGTTTATTGTATACCTAACAGGTGGAAATATACCGAAAAAATTGGAATCGTGTTACTTATTGGAATGATTAAAACCAATAAGATTTGTATTTGTGATTTGTTGTATACTACACAGTTGAAATATAACAGTAAGATTCAACTCGTGAGCTGTCGTTGCCTTCTATATATATATGTATAAGAGGTAAAAATATGCCATTAAGATTCAAGTTCATGACCTGTTTAAACGACATTATAATATCAGTTCTTCTGTGAACTCAAAATATAAATTTTTGTTGCCAGCTCTTAAAATGTAATCCTAAATGCTTAATTTTTTCAGTGTATGTTTCAACAGAGTAATTGTCAACGATATTCTTTTGTGTATTTTCTGTACACATTAGATTGAGAAAATAACTATTTCTTACGACTTTTAACAATAAAAGCGAATATACAGTATTGGAAATAATTATGGAAACAAAGGACTAAATGGGTATATAATGCATATTACACATTATTGAATAATATCCTTTGTGGCAAAATGAAATGTTGCCTAATGCAGTGTTGTGTCACACAGCAAAATATGATTTGGTGTCAAGCAACCAATCTGAAATTGCCAAACCAGCACAAGGCCTTTAAAAGTTATATACAGTGACAGAATTTTCGAATTTAAAACTTGTGGTGAAAACGACGGAAGAATAGCATTTACAACAAATGTATATAAACCAAAGTTTTAAAAGTTACTCCCAATGACAGATCACATTTTTTTCATGTTTCCCTTGTGGTGTATGCAAGACCCTGAAAATAGTTCATGAAACTGGAACTGTTGACAATATAAGTGATCGAGGAAGAAAATCCACACTATCAAAAGTGATGTAAAGTTCCTCAGGATAAATTCTCTAGATGACAGTCGACAAACCAGTAGAAATCTTGCAAATAGCTTTGCTTTAAGTACACCTGTTAACGTTTCTTCAAGCATAGTGTGTAACACATTGGCTCAAAATGGTCTCAATGGGTTTGTAGGCTGCTCAAACATCTTTGTTGATAAGATGTAACAAAGCCAAAAAAATGAAATGGGCAACAAAAATCAAGCAATGGAATGCTTAAACCTGTAAAAAAAGTGCTCTTTACAGACGAGTCCGAGTTTGATCTGTTTTACAATAATCGACAGCAATTTGTGTGAAGGCGATCAAGAGAGAATTATAAAACTTAGTGTGCAACAACTTCAGAAAAACATGGAAATGGATCACTACAGTTGTGGGGCTGTATCTCGGCCAAATGTGTTTGGAAGATCACAAAATCGAAGATTTCCTGGCTAATTCTGATCCGTCTTGCCATTCCCTCAGGAAAGCGCCTCATTGAGTACGGTTTCATCTTTCAGTATGAAAATGATCCCAAGCATATATTAAATGTAATGAAATTTTAGTTGAAACGTAAGAAAGCTGATGAAACACTAAAAAAAAGATGTTGTGACCTTCACAAAGTCCTGATGTAGAGATCTGCATGGGCCAAAATGTTAGAAGTTTACTCGGCCCGGCCTGAAGCCAGTCGATATCCGATTTTTTTCACATTAAACTCGACTTTGGCTCAAAGCTTAAACAAAGTATTACTTAGGAGATCGACAGTATCGGCTGACCGTGAGAAAATCGAGATGGCCTGTTTTTATGATCCAACCTGCCAAAATTGGGAAGAAAAAGGTAATAATATAAATCTGATATATTCCCAGCCTCATCCATCTCTCTGCAGTGTTACTGCATGTTATTCTGCAGAAACACAATAGGTTCTACACTTTCACTACTTAAACGGGTTCTTCACTCCTACACTACGCAACATGCTGTGCACATAGTACATACATACCTAAGAAAGAGCAGCCCACAATTGAAATATCGCATGTTGCCAGAGCTTGATTTAGACTTTGAGGGCCTAGTGACAAACATAATTTAGACCCTTGAGGTTTCCATCTATACTAACTGTAACAACGAATTACTACTAGTAAGACTTTCAAGATCATCAGACCGAATTACCGGAGTTAAAGGTTGAAATCTTTTATCCATACACACAGGTCAAATAACACATATACCTAACAACATTTGGAAATGGAGGGTTAATTTTTAAAGTTAATTTGCAACCAATATTTTCTCATTCTTCAATTTTGATTCAAAGCCATAGTGATTTGGAATATACTCCATATTCCTTGGCGGGTAACAATACATGGTTCAAACTAATGACACAACTACACAACAATGAAATCTATAATAATTTTTGTTAATAGGCAATGTAACGGTGTTTTCAACAAACATATTTCATTAAAAACAACCGTTGCTGCCGTAGAGTTACGAATATGTGTACTTATAAGATTTATGGGTGATATTTAACATGACCGTTTTAACAATGGATACAACAAAAAAGCTTGAGACAGTATTTGTAAGATTACAAAATTCCTTAAAGTGGTGCCTTTGATACCGAGCATAAAAATTATGAAACTATCAAATACGTATTGTTAGACCGCAGCTATAAGAATAGACGTTTTTCCAAAAATATGTTTGAAAATATTGTATTTAAACAAAATTAAAAAAGTCAAGCAGAAAACCCGAGGAAGCTCGAATTTTTAAAAAGAAGTTTGATAAAAGTCACCTCATCCAATCCTGACCTGGCCCGAACCAGGATCTTACCATCCTGCGGGGCTGGCCCGAACCAGGATCTTACCATCTAAGCTTGTCCTGCGGGGCTGGCCCGAACCAGGATCTTACCATCCGAGCTTGTCCTGCGGGGCTGGCCCGAACCAGGATTTTACCATCCGAGCTTGTCCTGCGGGGCTGGCCCGAACCAGGATCTTACCATCCGAGCTTGTCCTGCGGGGCTGGCCAGGGCCCTTGCAGTCTTCTATCCTGAGAACATAAAATGCCAACCAAAGACCTTGGACGAATTCTGGGAAGTATTAAAGGATATTCGGAACACAATTCCACAGTCTTTCATTGATAAAGTTTAGAGGAACATGAAAGCACGATGTCAAGATCTATGTAAAGAAAAGGGCTACGAATACCAAATATTATTGTTCTAGCCAATATATCATTTCACTTTTCCCTTATAATGCACTGTTTTTATGTTTGTCATATTTGCCTATATAATTTGCATTGTATATCCACTTTGTCCTATGTTTTCATATATATATTTCAAATACTGTATATTATAAAGCAGTGGTCTCCTAGGGCCTGGCATGACCTGGTACTTAAAGCGATCGATTCACAATCTGCGGATCATGGGTTCGAATCCCCGTCACCGAACATGCTCGCCCGTTCAGTCGTGAATACGTTATAATGTGACGGTCAATCCTACTATTAGTTGGTAAAAGAGTAGCCCATCGTTGGTTGGTGGGTGATGTTGACCAACTACTTTCCCTCTAGTCCATCACTGCCAAACGCAGATGGCCCTTGAGTAGCTATGCATAGCTAGTGATATTACACTTACAAGTAATACAGTTATAACTGTGACCGACATCTACTGCTCTCTGTCGAGAGCTTTAGATACTAACCTACTTCAAAACATTGTCAATCATAACAAGAAATGTGTAGTGATAGCGGAACTCAACAATTGACGAACTGCTACCAAATTCTGTCACAACTAGAGCCTCACGACCGTCTGATATTGACGAATACTGTCAAACAATAAATTAGTGTATTACAGAAGCAGCAGAAATAGCAATACCTAAACATGAACACTACAACACGTGGAAAACCACATGATTAAAGAACGTCATAGATTATATAGACAGTACATAAACATAAGAGGTCCAAACATAAAAACACAGATCAAACAAGAGAACTGGGACTTGTTCTGCACTGAACTAAATGAAACAAGATGACCCACAACACTACTGGAAACATCTCAAAAGATAAAGATATAGCCAAAGAACACACAAAATCTACTCCACACTAGTGTACGACAACAAAACTAATTACACAAACACCCAGAAAGCTGAATAATTTAAAGAACACTTATAAAACATACTTAAAACACATAATGCCCCTGAAGTGGACAATTACCACCTAAATAATATAACTAACCTTAATGAAGAAAATAAAACAACATTCACAGCTATTTTTCCTGTACACACACATAACACACACTCATGACACTTCTGTTACAAGTAAAATAACCACAACACAGATCTCAATAGCAATAAAACAAACCAAAAACAAAGCACCTGGTGAAAATGGCGTACAAGCCATCTTACTCAAAAAAAGCAACCAGCTATTGCTTGAACATATCACGGCACTATTTAATTTCTCCCTAATATCATGGTTTCTTGGAAGGAGGCGAATATTCTCATGTTCTTAAAGGAAGGGAAACCAATCAATAAACCACAGAGCTACTGACCAATCAGCTTGGCCAGCTGTGTATGTAAAATTATAAATAAAAGTTATAAGTAATAGATTAAGTGCATACTTAGAGAGAAATTCAAAATTAGCCGAAGTACAAAACGGTAAAGAAACGTACACAAAGCTCGTGGCTAAATAGTTATTAAGGAATATCAATCTGAAGTTCCTTTAAGAAAGTACTTTCACTCGCGCCCGTTGACCTATAGGAATGATCAGCTAAAGTTATAAACGAGGTAAGCATTTTTTTTCAATAAGAATTGGTTGCTTTATTAAGAAATGGTGCGCGTTTAAAAATACATTGTGAGCAAAAAGCGATTTGGTATCACGCGATTGACGACAGAGCTGTCCCACGCATCTTCATTATAATGGAGCTTGCGATGTATACGTCTAAAACTCGGATCTCGGAAACTACCCCTCCGATCATCACCAATCATAACTGGGTAACATTTTTATAATTAGGCAGTATTTTTATGGCTAAGCAATAAATAAAACAATAAAAATTATAGTCGAAAAGGAGTAAGTTTCAGATTTATCCAATTAAATTTACAAACAAAAAGGAGTAAGTTTCAGATTTAACCAATAAAAATTACAAAAAAGGAGTAAGTTTCAGATTTAACCAATAAAAATTACAAAAAAGGGGTAAGTTTCAAATATAAAACTCTAAAAATGGTTCTATGTGACGTAAATCTTGCTATTCCTCATTAATTTTCTAATACCTCCATACTATTTAAAAATGGTTCTATGTGACGTAAGTCTTGCTATTCCTCATTAATTTTCTGTTATCTCCATACTATCTAAAAATGGTTCTATGTGACGCAAAACTTGCTATTACTGATTAATTTTCTAGTACCTCCATACTATCTAAAAAAAGTTCTATGTGACGTAAAACTTGCTATTCCTCATTAATTTCTAGTACCTAATAGTACCTAGTATCTAATTTCTAGTAGATTTTATCCCGAAAAGGTAAAGTCCTACAGATACTGATCTAAAAGTCTTTACAGGGACAGAAATTGTAGGAATCTTTATTTCGTTTCTATTAGTTTTAAGGGTAAAATGAAAATATAGATGATAACATTCAAATCTCAATAAACGTAAAAAACTGATTGACATAAAAAATTTTCTCTATCGTTAAGATTGCCAAGCAACCTAACGCTAATATTGTGTCGCTTCATCAGAATAAAAACTCATATTAATGAAATTACAAGTATCATTTTGAAAACAGAGATGGCGCTTCTAAATCACTGTCAATAACATCTTATTTTTATGTTTGTTTAACCGAGATGACACTTACTAGGTTAGAAAGGTGTACAAAGCATAGACAAACAGATCATTAACTTAAATATAACTATCCATTATAGTTATGCTAGATGTACATAAGACGATATTTGTTTTGTTAGAACGATATAAATAAGATCATATACAGACCGAAGACAAACCGTTCGTTAACTTAAAGATTACTATCTATTACTGTAGGCGAAAAGACTAGTTTGTTTTTCTTTGAATTTTGCGCTAGCTGTCCCTAATTTTTATGTGATAGACAAAAGGGAAGACAACTACTTAACAACATTCACCGCCAACTCTTTAGTAAGAAATTACAAGATTGACCAACAGCTACTTAAGTCATTTCATTTGCCTGACATGGTCCCGTAGTTAGGGCAATTAACGTGCAATCTGAAGGTCGTGGATTCGAATCACATCCCCGAACATATTTGCTATTTCAACCATGTAGACGTTAAAATATGAAGATCAGTCCTACTGTTTGTTGGTAAAGATTAGCCTAAGAGTTGGCGGTGATGATATTAAGTAGCTGTTGGTCAATCTTGTAATTTCTTACTAAAGAGTTGGCGGTGATGATATTAAGTAGTTGTTAGTCAATCTTGTAATTTCTTACTAAAGAGTTGGCGATGATGATATTAAGTAGCTGTTGGTCAATCGTGTAATTTCTTATTAAAGAGTTGGCGATGATGATACGGCCAATAGAAATAGGTTAAATAACCTTAATATTTTTTTTTCTACAATATACATGCCTATTCCAGGACAAAGTGGAAAAGGCAGACTGCTGTTGGACTGGAGTTACTTGCCGAGGCTGGAAACGTTGCAGCTCTCCATACCATGATGCATGCAACTCCTTATTGTTTTTCTAGGTTCATGCCATCGCCTTCTCAAGGTCATCTCACAAACCAAGAGTACTACTTCAGGCATCCGTCATCTGGACTTCTTGAACATCTCCCTTTTCGTTTATACTAATCTGATGAAAGATGGATATCATTACCAAGCTCAATGAATTACTCTTTTATGATGTCTCAAGGAAATCCGGAAAATCCAGTTAATTCACTAGCAAAATCATATTCCCAAACTAGTGCAAGAAAAAGATCCAGGTTCTGTTTTTAGTCAAATGTGAGGGCAATGGTACTGCTGTAAAAACGGAAAACAAGACTATTACAAAACCACTAATTTCAAATAGGTATATAAAATGTTTTCTGAATGACGATTACTTTTGCTGGTGCACAAGGAAAAACTCGTAACTTTTTATTTTATTTTTTATTTTTTTTCAGAAATACATCGACTATGCTAGAGAAACATATTCGTTCATTATAAGCACATTTGTATAGGGACGCAATGATTGGGATTCGTAAGGAGTGTTGTTTTCCAAATGTGCAATAACAGCGCAACACATTTAACGTAGATTAATAGCTTGAACAATTAATGAACAGACTAGAATTTTTAATGGACTAACATGGCTGAGAACTCCAACATACAAACACAAATTATTCAATATGACTCCTAATTAACACTATTCTGTGATTGGTATTAACAACGATCTCTTGGCATATGTCGCATTAACCAATCCATCCGTTAAATTACTTGACAGACACATGCATTACTGTGTAGAGTAATAAATCAAATAGAGAATTGTTTCTACAACTTACTATGAATGCTTACTTTAAAGGTTCACGACGCTGTGTATCATGTAAAGTCTATTATCAACAACTTACTATGAATGCTTACTTAAAAAATTCACGAAGTTGTGTATCATGTAAAGCCTATTATCAACAACTTACTATGAATGCTTACTTAAAAGGTTCACGACGCTGTGTATCATGTAAAAGTCTATTATCTACAACTTACTATGAATGCTTACTTAAAAGGTTCACGACGCTGTGTATCATGTAAAATTCTATTATTAAATAGTCCTGTTTTTATGTATATAATTCTAAATGTTTTACCAGTTGGAAAGTATGTAGAGCGTTAAATAACTTATATAGTTAACTGACAAATAACTAGTCAGCCGAGATTGAAGAACTTGGCCACTTTATTGTGCATGATTAGCTTTGTAGACACGTTCAGTACTCTGTACAGCTCTAAACTAATCATTGAATCGCTTCCACAACTAGACATGAGTGCTCATGTAAAAAGTTCACGTCACTCTTTCGCCATCTTCTATTTTTACTTGTTCGTGGCTCATGTTTTGATGTTTTTCTTGTCTAAGCAGATCCACGCCTAAGGATTAACACAAACGCGTCTTACATTATTAGTCAAGAAGGAGCAACCAAGATAGTTCTATCGTTTCTTTCCTTCAATGAGAACATGGATACAGAAACCTATCAGCCACCACAATAAGCGTATCAGATCTTCTAACTATTAAGAAACAAAATTTAACTCATTGAAATAAGATTAAGTAATAGAACTACCGCTTCAATTTCAATATGAAAAATCAAACTCTTCCTTTCAACAACAACAAAAAAAAATTCTATTATTAAGAAAAAAGAGGTAATCCTTTTATGTAAAACTAACCAGAAAATCCATCCTCACTATATAGATTAGGAATCACAAACAATCCTTCTGACCAATAGCTGACAAGAACCAAAGAAGTAAGCTCTCCAACCAATAAAAACAAGCATCACACACTTCATTAATATCCTTATTAACGAACACGAAGTACAACGAAAGCTTCCATCTAATAACAAAAAAATGAAGAATTTAAACGCAGACCAAAATTTTATAAAAAACTTACGAACGTAGATAGCAAAACTTCAAAAACTTGTTAATGATAGCAATAAGAAAAATGAAACTTTTTTCACTAATAACAAGAAAAAGATCGAGCCTTTCCTTCATAATAAAAAATGTAAAAACAATATTCAAGTTTTCTATAATATACGAACAAGTACGGCGACATGACATTTATTTCACCATATTAAACATATAAATTTATAGTTCTCAAAAAGCCCCCCAGTGGCACAGCGGTATGTCTACGGACTTACAACGCTAGAAACCGGGTTTCGATACCCGTGGTGGGCAGAGCACAGATAGCCCATTGTGCAGCTTTGTGCTTAATTCCAAACAAAAAGTTCTCAGAAAAATAAATATTTACTTTCAAACACGAATATTTTTATATTTATATTTTATATAACCAAAATAAGAACCTGATTAACTTAAAGCTTTACTTTAGAGTCAACGACTTTCATGATTACTATGTGAAGCTGTACAAAAATACACACCCATTCAAGCTAGACATTATAACTCCCTCACGGCTTAAACTGCAAAAATATGCAACATTTATTGTTGCCTATTTTTTTTGTTACTCGAAGGCTATTTCGATAGACTGTCAAAACAGAAAAAATGAAACAGTAAAAGCTAACAAATATAACTAGAATAAACAGATTTTATGTGAAGACAAGTTTGGTTTGAATTTCGCGCAAAACTACACGAGGACTATCTGAGCTAGCCATCCCTAATTTAGCAGTGAAAGACTAGATGGAAGGCAGATAGTCATCATCACCCACCGCCAACTCTTGGGCTACTCTTTTACCAACGAATAGTAGGATTGACCGTCACATTATAACGTCCCAACGGCTGAAAGGGCGAGCATGTTTGGTGGGACGGGAAGAGAACAAGATCAAATGTCTACAGAGTGTTGTGTATTAAGTTCTTTAAGATCGGCATATGCGGCGAAGTTTGTTCGAAAAACAAACTGTAGAAAAAGACCGCAAGTCGTGGAAGAATTTTTGCAAGATATATTTTAAAAAGTTGAAACACACGTCCATCATAAAAATTTCGTTTATTAGCTACATTTTGTAATTTTAACAGCTAAGTTTGACGAAAGACATATGTCTGAATTTTAGCTAATAAAAGGTATATTTTTATGATAGACATGTGTTTTAACTTTTTACAAAATCTCTTACAACAAGGGCAAATGATTCTTACTCAAACTTTCATTAACAACTAAAGTGATAGATACTTTGTTATGGTTGTATAACAACAGTGTAGTATGCTAACAGTCATTTTGTTTTACTTCTAAGAATAATTATAAATGTATACGTACTTTATAGGTAATTCAGATAATCCTCCTGATTAATTGAGTTCTGAAAGATATTTTTAATCATCAGATATCTAGAGAATGTGAATGGCAATATCACCTTATTTCTGTCGATTTACAAGGAGTATTTTTGAATCAGTGAGTAAACCTGTTATACAAAATGACATTACTAATAAAAGGATACCTACAATTATAAATACTTATGTAGGTTTTGGGAGTGCAGGTTGGCTCAGTAAAAATTCACGCTACAGTTGTAATAACTTCCACTTCTGTTGGGAATTTTTAGACACTTAAATATTGTCATTCAAGCGATCTATACGAAGGTATATTTTTCTGTTTAGTTTTCGAATTGGTTTTTATTTATTTAATTAATTTGATTACCTTTTAAGAGTATACTTAAACGGGAAATATATATTATTAATAATGTCCGTTTTCTGGTCGCTCTACTTTAGTTAAACAGAAAGAAGGACATTGCTGTTACAAAGCAAATCATACGAGAACCAGAAAGCGGCTTTCTGACGTCTTGTTTATTGTACTGGGTGATGTTTGTGGGTTAGTCATTCAAATAACATTTCTTGATAGTACATTGTACTCCAGCTTTTTAGTTTCGAAGTAGTACTTAAAGGTAACTGAAACATAATGTATATTTCATATATACTTTATAATAATAAGGCACCTTTATATTTTCATATAGATGTAACGTTTAATACGTGAATTTGGTATAATTAGTATCAATAGAAAGCTTTTAATTTCAATCTAATGTTATATTTGCACTAAGTATAAGATGTGGAGTCGATTAGCTAAACAGGCAAATGAAGAAATCGAAATATGACCTAATTTTTTAATTCTGAAAATGCAATCATTGAAAATTCATATGTTCTTAAAACAAGAAACAAATTACTTTTTTATATGTGGTAATTATAAAGTATATATTATATTTTCGAAACGTTAAGACGCTTCATCTTATTAGCATATAGATTTGTATTTTCTCCAGCATCTGCATTACAAGAAAACCATCTTCATAACTGTATAGAAAAACAAACATGTACAACAAAAGTATTTTGATATAGCGTCTAAAATTAAATATTCAAACACTAGAAATGTGTTTCTGTTACGATCAAGTAACGCTTTACGGCGATACCATTAGCACATCGCTAGAAAGAATGAATGTCGTCTTTTAACTGAAAAACACTGTCATTTAAATTCTACAATGATTCAATTTTTCACGATTGTGTCCCAAGTGAGATTCTCCAACATGAATGTTTGTTACGTTACTTGTGATTTTTAAATTAGTATTGTACAAAGAAGAATTAACCAATCATTATCAAACATTCGATTGAGGAAATATAGGCAGTAAATTAATTAATATGGTCCCACATTTCTAGAGGAAGTGACTAACAACACAAAGAACATAGTTTTTGCTGAAACCACCATTTTCTACAACAAACTGATATCCTTCAAGCCGGTTCCAAACCCCTGAAGCTTGTAGTAACGTTTTTCACTGGTTTGTGGCAATTTAAGAGCTAAATCATAAGTAAGAATTTTAATTCAGGACACAAAGAACCTTCCTCAATAACAGACAATCTCCAATTCTGCCTTTCTCATGGCTAATATTCTACAGTCAAAGAATGCGTGTAATTTTTTTTTGTAAAACAAATCTAAAGAGACCTTGTTGAATGCCCATTTTCCGTGAAATACTTAAATAAGTCATTTGAAGACGTCATTTCTTTTAAAAAAAATGACACGGCGTTAAAAAGTTAGTACCATTCTATGTCTCTGACCTTCGTTTAAAAACCGGTTTCTTTGTGAAACCTTATAGTTATCTTCACCATTAGGTTACTGGCTCTTAAGCTGACGAACGTTTTTGTTTGTTTCAAATATGAAATCTTGTTAAAACTTATCAAAAACAAAAGCTTATAGAATTTTGCTTATACGTTAGACAAGCGGGAATCCTCAGTAGCCGCGGCACTTGAAATTCTTTTAGGCAGGATTAGAGTAAATTAATGTATGAGACCTTTGTTTCTCTTTCTATTAGCTATATTTTTTGTGAGCCAGCAATACCAAGTGTGGGGTGCGCTGATACCCGATTCGATTTTATTACTCATCAGGATCTCGATCAGCCTACACTCAAATTGAAATTATTT